TGGAAACCCCATCTAAATCTGACCTATAAATTGTCAAGACTTGTGGCTTTGACATCTCCGCTTTCTGAGTTGATCTGACACAATTTTGTATACTTATATCTATATATTTTAATCAAAAATATATTGATCTTTACTTGCCAGAACATTTAAGTTACTCTGACTTATTTTCTATAGCAATTAAATGATTTCTGATTTCTGCGGAACACACTCACAACTATTATCTTTCAAACAAGACCACAGTTATGCATGTAGTCAAAAGTGCTCATGAACGGCAACCTTTTTAGTTTGTGTATGTCAGGTTTGGGTTCAAGATCAACTTGTGGGTTGACTGTTAACAGGTTAAGCGATCAGTGTTGATGACTTGATCTTTAAACTTCCACAGTATCTGATCATCTCTCTGTTTTTTAGTAACACCAGTGTGTAGAGTGACAGTGTCTCCCTCCAGCACTGACACTGACTCCACAACATCTGTCTCAACAACAAACACATGAGGAGAACAAACACAAACAGTTGAAATCAGAGAGCAATTAAAAACAAATACTTCTACATATGTATGTACAGTGGTGTGTAAGAGCATGAGACCACACTGAAAAGCTTATTTAGTATTTAAAACATGAAATATTTGTAAAATGTGCACTATTTCTAGGTCACAAAACAAAAATAAGTATATTAGTCTCATTGACTAAAATCTTAAATGATGCTCAAATTGTTTTGCTGATAAAATAACTTTAAAGAAATGCACACCTTATTTAACTTGAGTTGGTGTAACCACTGTTTTTTTGTACCAACAAATAAATGATTGTGTTGCAGACGTCAGGTTTAACAGGCCCTTAATCTGATCATTATAAATATTAAGTCATAAAAAATAATAATAATAAAAAAGCACATTAGCGTCTTCTGCATTTCAGCCAATCAGGAAATGATAACACAACAGGACTTTGGTTACAATTAGAGTTTTTTATTGTTAAAAAAAAAAAACTGAAAATAAATAATATAAATAAAACCTGCAAAATATGTCCAAAAAATTGTGGATTGAAAAATCAATGAAATTACAAAAAGAAGAATCTGTGATCTTATTTTGAATGTTTTGGAAAAATAGTC